TCAAGAGTTTGAGCTCTGAGCAACAGCGGTTCGAGTCCAGCCCGAGCTGAGCAGCCGCTGAGCTGCCAACAGGTAGCAGGATGGCTCAGCTTTAAAAAAAAAAAAAAGTAAATTCATTTATTAAATAAATAGTAGACCTGGTTCTTTAGAGAAAAAAAGAATAAAATGTACACTAGCAAACGTAAGTAAGAAAAATACCATTTCACAAAATTAGAACTAAGATCATATCTAAAACAATCACAAAGAGACATTTTGAATTACATCAAGCTTTATGTAATCTAATATAAATGTTTTTAAAATCTTGATAAAATGGACAATATTCTGAAGACAAAAAGAAAAAACAAGCAAGATTCCAAAACTGACCCAAACAATCAGTGCCTATGATCAGAAATTTGAAACATTATCAAATAATATTATGTTTTATACACACACACACACACACACACACACACACACACACACACACACACACACCCTTGCTCAGAGATGATAAATTTTTTGAACATTCAAAGAACAATATTATCTAGGTTAAATAAAAAGTCTCAGGGTATACATAAGTATGAAAATCTGCCCAATTTATTGAACAAAGGAAGTATAATTCTATTAACAAAGCTCAACCAAGATAGCAGACGAAAAAAAATCAATCTCACTTATGAAGCAAGTTACTTAACCTCTTTGTTTCTCAGTTTCTTCCTTTGTCATAAGGGGGGAAACAGTACTGGTTGGCACCCCCTAGGGTTGTAGTGAGGATTTGCTGAGTTAATAGATGCAGGGTACACAGAGCGGGCCCCATGAAATACAGCTATTATTGTCATACAGAAAAAGTTCTCCTTGATTAGATTGCATGCTTCTTGAAAGCAAGGCCCATTTCTCTCAGTTCTTTGACATCTTTAATACCCTCCACCCTCCATAAAAACTCGACAATGGTGCTGAGCCAGTAGTGATGTTCCCTAAAGCAAAGGGTTAGTCACTTCTTGCCCATTCTCCTGACTCTTTTTTTTTTAAGATGTTATTGGGGAATTGGAGAAGGGGAACAGTGTTGGGGAATTGGGGAAGGGGACCAGCCAAGTTGTAGTTCTTCAATCTTCGTTGTGGAGGGCGCCAGTCACCATCTGGCTTCCCGTTGGCAGCTCGTGCCTCTAATCTCAAGGTGCTGTGTTCAATCTTAGTTGTAGGTGGGCGTAGCCACCATCCCATGCAGGAGTCGAACCAGCAGCCTTGCTGTTGCGTACACACTCTGTCCACTGAGCCATCCAGGTGGCAGGCAGCTCAGCTCAAGGTGCCGAGTTCAGTCTTAGTTGTGGGTGGGTGTAGCCCACCATCGAACAGGTAATGTTGTTACACCAGTTGAGCCATCCTGCCACCTGTTGGCAGCTCCATGGAAGTTCAGCTCAGGC